TTAATGCCTTGCTTTGATTGCTTTATGAGCTGTCGCTTGGCATAATGTACATATAATTTTTATGGCCAGGCATAAAAATCTAAGCAGTTGCAACAAATGCATCCGACAGTTGACAACAGCAGCGGAAAGCAACAGAAACAGCAAACAGACAACAGCAAACAGACAACAGGCCAATCAGCAACATCTTCGTTAGCTGCCTGCCTGACTTCCCCCCTGTTGCAGTTGCAGTTGCCTTTACGGCTTCGTCATTAATCAAATGGAATTGAAATGCGCCGCGTGTACATCACACGCCGTTGTTGTAGCTCTCGATGTTGCTGTTGTGCCTCTCAATGTTGCCCCTCAATGTTGCTGTTGTTGTTACCGCCGAGCAGCGCCCATTTGGAGTTGGCCATTTTTGCGCATTTTAATCATGCCCCGTCTCGCCTGTAGTTATTTGGCGTTTTTTTCTGGCCTGGCCAAAAGAGATCTGCGCCAACTGATAAAGTGATGGCGATGCCAGCGTTTGCTGGTCACTGGCTGCCCCTCTGCCTCAGCCAACGCCAACGCAGGCCGCACTGGCCAAAATGATTAATACATCTTGATGCGATTTGGTTTGTAACGCGGGCCGCAATAAAAACGTGGCTTTTGATTGACAATGGGGCAGAGCGGCAAAAAGAGTTTGAGATGCCGTACCGTTGATTGCTTCATTAGGCGGGGGCCTCGAAAGTTGGGCGAAACCGAAAACCGGGAAGACCATTTGATTCAATTATGCATTTGCATGCAATTGAAACATAAGCCACAAGTGGCAGAGGCAGACTCCACAGCAGCACCACAGCAGCACCACAGCAGCAGCTGCTTATCAGCGAAAGAGAGCCGTTGAGCTATTGGTCAATTGGTCAACAGGCAGTGCCACTGCAGGCCACGCGGCATGCGCCATGCGGCAGCCGTTTGGCGTATCCGGCTAGTATTTGGGGGCAGACCAGGCTGGTGGGCGATAATTATCTGCTTGAAAAATGATCGAATGGTCTGCCGCTGGAGAGCGGTCTCACTTGGCTAACGATGACAATTTGCAGTGAAGAGCGGGAGAAAAATGTATGCAGAAATATTTGCAGCTGCATGCCACACTCTAACACATAGGCCACACACACACACACACTGGAGCCATAATTTTTGAGCTCCCGTGCGTTTTTGATGCGTTTTGCGTGCGTTTTACGAGCGGTTTTCAAATGTGTTTTGTAATTTATGCAGCGCTGAAAAGGAGTTTCACAACTTGAATATGCAAAAATATGGCAGGTCATTAATATTTGGCATTTCCTGTGCGTAATGATCGAACCAAGCATGATTTGAGAGTACCCCGAAAGTATGCAATGGAATGTGCGATGGCACATCATTAAGCAGCAAGAGCGAGGCCATGATTAACCCATTTTCTTATACAATTATCACATTGTGCGCACGCACACACTGGACACTGGGCACTGGTCACAGCGCACTGCGTATACGCAACGCAGAACGCCCCATCGTTTATCTCAATAAATGTGATTACGGGCCAGCCAGCGAGAAGATCATCAACAAGTACCGCTTTCCATCGATGATGTTGATGGCTCCATTTTGGCCAATCGAAGTGCAATTTGATTGCGGTACGTGAATCCACTCAAACGCGTCGTCTGGTCTGCTCAGCTCTGCTCTGCACTCCTGTGCTCTGGCCTGGCCTGGCCTGGACTGGCCAGCAGGTTTTCATTTGAGCCGCATTGTCTTCGTTATGCCTCAATCTTCTTTTATGAAATTTCTTGCTTGCAATTGTTGGAATTATTTTAATTGATTGAGCCAACGCAAGAGGGGGTGTCGTGTGGTGTGGTGTGGGTTTTTGCTTTGCAACTGGTTTTGGCTTTTATTTGAGCCAAGCCGATTCGAGCCGTCTGCGCACACACACGCACTCGACGATTGGTAATTGAAACTTGTTAGTGAAGACATTAAAAAATCGTTTAGCAAGGTATTTGGGTTAAAAATGCGTGGAAAATCGTGCAACCAAAGCGACAAAAACAGCAAATAGCAACAGAAACAGCAGCAGCAGCAGCAGGCAGCGACAAATCCAACAAAGAAAACAGCGGCCCAAAGCAGAAGCAGCCAAAGCGTGTGATTTTCATTGATTGTCTCCCAGGAGGGAGGCAAACCCCAAACCATTGAGAGAAAATTGTGTAACCGCAAAATAAAAATTCCTGCACATAAACTAATCCCAGACGATGGGCTGCTGCTGTTTTTTGTGAGTACCTCTTCTGGTTTGTCTCCCCTGCATATGCTGACTGACGCCGGCAACAATGGATAGAGCTCCCGCTTTTGGGGATGGGGATTTGGGTTTAATCATAGCCTGGACAGACCAAAGAAATTGTGCCGAAAATTGCACATTCCCCGGATTCCCTTCTGCCCACAAATCACTTACATATATGCAAATAACTAAGCCAAAGCGCTACAGATATTGGCTTAATTAAAAAGCCTTCCAATTATTGGAACATTTTTATTTATGACCCACTAGTTGAGAGCCCCAGCACCAGCCCCTCTCCCACTCACTACAGAGCCCCCTCTGGGATGCACAGATATACGTAGTTATTCAAACATAAAAACCCATCATGCTATCATGTTTTTAAAATGATGCCGCCTCGGGCTGTTTGCATTGGCCAAAATGCGCTAACAATTTCTACGATTACGATTGCGATTACCATGCAGCATTTGGGGGGAAATAAAATGCAGTTCCAATCCCCTCGAAGACCCCCCGCCAATCCGCCAATGCCCCGTTGCAGTTGCAGTTGCATGCATCTTCATCATGGCACAGACACGAGCAAAGATGGGAAGATGCATGTGCCGGGCACATGCACATCCACATTCACATTCACATCTATAGGCCACGTCCATGATTGGCTGGCCGCCAGTTATATGAGCACGTCTCGACGGCCCGGCCAACTTTCTTTCTGCGACTCAGACGCAGACTCTGACTGTGGCTCTGGCTCAGACTGAGACTCAGACTCCGTTTTGGACTACGTACCGCATCCAAATCACAATAATCGTGCTCAAATTAGTCAATATTTGAGCGCCAAAATGCTCAAACAAAGGATTATTATTTTATTTCATATTTCTGCGCCTTTTCCCCCCGTTCTCTCCCTCTCTAGCAAAGCGTTTCCCTGCTGTCGGCCATAAAGTATATATAAAGTAATTTCTGCATCTTAAACATGATTATTAAGTAAACTACTAGGCAGGCAGCACCAGCACCAGCACCAGCAGCAGCAGCAGGTTGGTCTGTGCTGTCAGTTGGCAGGCAAATGACCACAAATGATTACGCAGTGTTTTCGGTCTTTTCGGTATTTTCGGTGAAATTTTCAGAGCTTTGCCTCGTCCGATGGTCGTGGGGCGATAAGCCAGGGAAAACACTGGAAAACGAGCTCACCTTAAGAGCCTTAAAAATGTTAACTGACCGCTTACCAAATGGACTGCACTTGTTGCCGCTTTTTCTCCTCTTTGGCCTGGTCTTTGATCAGGTGTTGATGCTGCTGCCGTCTGCCGGGGCCGTCTCTCAGCTAAGTATTTCCACAGCCCCATGCCACAGTTTGATTTCTCCCCAGATATTGCACTTAAAAGTCTCTAGAAGCAGCGGCAGCCCGGCCAGCCCGGGCAGCATCTTAAATATTTTCCAACTGCGGCATTTTCTCTACACTCTGCCCTTATCTAAAGTATGCAAGCCGGGGGTACTGGGGGTACTGGTACTGGTACGACTACGACTACACGAGCAATGCAAATTTGTTAAGTCATTTTTGTTTGTGGTTCTCACGCTGCCACACCGCCACAAAAACAGCAACAGAAACGCCGTAAGGTCCATTTTTCATACACATATGTATACGATTACTATACGATTGGGAGTCAGTTTCCAGCAAATAAATAAATAAACAAAAAAGAGTCAAATCAATTTGACAATTTGAACATTTGGCACATTTGCTAGAACACGACTTGGGGGCACAACCAGATACAGATACAGATACAGCCACAGAAATGGCAAGGCAAGAGACCCAGCGCGCCGGACTGTCAGTTCGATCACCTTAGGGGTACAGCATACATGAATATACGAGTATTGTATGTAATTCTGTTGATATGGCAATATACAGTAGCCCATATCAGACAGAACTTGCGGCGATATACAGTGCAGGGCAGATGAATAGGATACCTTAGCATTTGGATATAAAAATTTAAATTTATTCTGTAGATTTTAGTACGGGAAAGTAGTTTTACATATTACAGGATATTATTCAGTAATCTATTTTATCTATTTCCCCTTCTTATTTCCCTGTCCCCCACTGTGCGAGTACGTACCTTTTTATGCAAGCTACTATTCTAAATGCCCGGCTCGTTGTGCGTCTGTCTGTCTGTGTGTCTCACTTGCCAAATCTATGCAAATGAAACAAGCCAAAAACTGAGAGAAACAAGAATGGGCCGCAAAGTAGGGGCAACGAGACAAATAAAATAAAAGAAGAGAAAAAAAACTGTCGCAGTGACAGGTTGAGTTTGGCCTGAGTTTGAGTTTGAGTTTGGCATTAGCCAAAGTCCAAGTGCGCCTTCGCCTTCGCTTCGTCGCGGCGAGAGATTTACGAGGCGGGCACGCCAAATGTGTTTACACTTTGTCACCCTTCTGTCAGCTTGATTTATTCGTTTGCAGATAGCCAGCCGGCTAAAAAGCCATGCCAAGAGCGGCTCAAATTAAAATGCAAGTATGGCCGGAATGCAGGCCCAGGCCATGCGGCTAGAATGAGCGAGCGAGCGAGTGAATGACTGATTGACTTAAGTGGCCAACTGACAAGTGGCTTTAATCAATCGGTGTGTCACAGAGTGGTGCTCTGTGTGAGTGTGAGTGTGTGTGCGTGGCCAGAGAAATGGAGAAACCAAAAATGAAATCGAAATCAAGGCAGGAATAACTTACACACACTTTTCCTGGAACTTCTGACTTATCAACTTTCTTTCTGTCTATTCTGTCTCTTTCGCAGTTAACCAACACTGACAACCATCTTGGCTTAGCCAACACTCGTCGAATTAAGGCGCTACTCTGGCGCTTCAGGCTCAACAAATGATCGGCACTGAGGATATGTCCGCATCGGCTGGCATGGATATAAGCGAATCCTTTCGTGCCGAGGATCTCTCCAAGGCGGACTTCTTCGACTTTGTCACTGGCCCCGACATGGGCATCGGCATTGGTGTGGGCGTCGACTCCTTAGGCGTCAGCCTCCACCAACAGCAGCAGCAGCACCATCAGCCCCACCAGCAGCAGCAGCATCACAGTCAGCACAACAGTCACACCGCCAGCCACGTTCAGGTGGTGCACCAGCCAGCCATCTCCATCTCCACCCAATCACCACAGCAGGCCCTGTGCGGCGGTGGTGCGAGAACCAACAGCAGCATGATCCATGATGGCGGGGGAGGTGTTGCCGGAGGAGGGGTACCCGTTGGCAATCGAAATGGCAGCAGCAATGGAGGGGATCCCACGTTACAGGGCTATGAGGTAAGTCGCAGATCATTCACAGGGAAAAATGCAAGAAATGAAATTTAAAAATCTAAAAAAAAAATATAAAACAAGAAGGAACGTGTGAGTCGCTTCTGGGGACGCGACTCTACTTATACCCGTACTCAGTCAGTATATACATTTTTAAGCTTATGATTTTTTAGAATTTTAAAATAAAAAAAAAAATTTTACATATTACATTTTTTTGCTAAATCTGTTATCTACATCTACAATGTATATTTTACATCTAACATGTAGATTATAGATGTACCATTCATATTCTACATCTTCTCCGCTAGGGGTTGCTCGCGCACTGAACGCGGCAGAGTGTGCGAGCGAGAAAGAGATAGCTAAAGTGTCTTTGGCAGGGGGAGGCAGGGGGAGGCAGAGGAAGCAACAAAAAATTAATTTCTTCATTCTGGCTATATTTATGATCCGATCTGATTCAGATTCGGCAATCTGATAGATATGGTAATTTTCTACGATACTGTGCCTGCCACAGATTTTCGTCCTTTGTGTGGGCGGAAGGGGGCGGGGCGAAATTTTGAAATACACTTGTAGCAGTGTGATATCACATGAGTCTGGAAACAAAATTTGGTTGCTCTAGCTTTTATAGTCTCTGAGATCCAGGCGCTCATCAAGACGGACGGACGGACATGGCTATATCGACTCGGCTATTGATGTTGATCAGAATATATATACTTTATGGGGTCGCAAACGCTTCCTTCTCTGCGTTGCACACATCCACTTTTACCACAAATCTTATATACCCATTAACTCTTTTTTGAGTACGGGTATAAAAAATAATAACCTACCCAAACCGATATGTTGCGATATTATATAGTACTAGCAGACCCGCGCGCTTCGCTGCTTACTAAGTGCATTAATTGTTTAGGAATCGAACTTTTTTCCTCAAGAATCCAAACCAACTTTTTCTGATAGATATGGAACTTCAAAATTTTTTAAAGAACTATGGTTTTTTTCTATCATAGAATTTTTTTTAAAGAATTTTTGAAGTCTAGTATGTTTTAAAGCTTTATTCAGAGGTAGCGTTTCTTTTTTTCACATAACTCTAGTATCTTACGACTGGTTGTAAAGAACTTTACTTTTTTGAAAAGATAATTAAAACAGCTAAAAGCTAAACCCAAATTCTCTTTGCAAAAATGATGATTTTTGTGCGGTATTTTTTACAAAATTTTGGCTTTAAAAACTCAAGAAAATCAAAAATTGTATCCCGTGTTCTCTATTTTTTGTGTATAGCTGCATTAATTAGGCGTCGTTTAAGGTATTCCTCATTAAAATCTATAGAGATACTTTGAAGCTAAAATTCGTTAGCCAAACCAAAAAAATTAAGAAAAAATACCTTTTGGAAGGTTGCGGGCCCAACTACCGATTCTCTGGCTATCATTTAAAAACATCATGTAATTTGGTGCACGGGTAGCTAAGATAGCCACTTACACACAGATTTTTTTCTACAAATTTGTAGTAAAGATTTCACTTATTTTAAATGCTGCTATTTTTCTTCTTATCCTTTCAGTTCTGGCACCAGGACAAGGACAACAGTCGCCTCGACTCCACCTCCATATTCGAGGACCTGGACCGCTACTGCTGGCAACAGCAGCCGGTCACTGCCAGCGCCGGCAACAGTGGAACCACCAATACCAACCAGCCCAGTCCCACATCTCCTCAGTCGCACCACCACCACCAGCAACAGCAGCAGCAACAGCATCCACATCCACACCAACAACAACAGCAGCAGCAACAGCAGCAGCCTAATCCCAGCAGTTCCTCGGCCGCCTCCAGTGGGGCGGGCAGCAGCAGCGACACCATCAGCAGCCTGGACACCACCGACGGACAGATCTACACCCTGACAGTATTAAACGGCGGCGAGCCCTGGCTGAAGCGCTCCGAGGCAGAGCAGCTGCCGAGTTCCCTCGATCTGGACAGTCTCCTGGGCAGCTTTCCGGGGTACATCAAGTCGGAGTATCCGTACGATGACAGCGGCTTCAGCACAGACGGCAAGGATGTGATCGTGAATGGGGCAGATGGCAATGGTCTCAGCAGTATTTCCCAGGGCCCCCCACAGACGCTGCCCTCGCTCGTTACAGCCATCTCCATTGCGGGGGGCAATGACTTGGGCCAGCAGTTGGCCCAGTTCCAGAACAACAACAACGACTGGCATATGGCCGATCACAATGCCGACACGGAGCAGAGCACGGCGGAATCGCTGCTGCGGAGTGCGCTCCAGGGAAAGGGATACGCCAAAGGTCTGCACATGCAGAACGGCCTGGCCATGCCCGTCGTCAAGGAGGAGGACATGCGCCGGCTGCTCTTCACGGACGATGCTGCCGATGCCCTGGGCTTTGCCGACTCCACGCTGAATGCCGCCCAAATGTTTGACGAGGCTCAGGGCATGGCTGGTGTCCATCTCACATCCCAGCAGCAGCAGCAGCAGGTGCAACAGCAACAGCAGCAGCACAATGGCAACGCCAACATCATTGTGGACGATATGTTCCTGTCGCTGGAGAACGCCTTCAGCGATGACTTTGAGAAGATCAAGCGGATCGCCAACGAGGTGCAGCAGTTCTGCACCGGAGGCTCCTCCACGCCCACTCCAGGCACGGACTACAGCAGTGCCAACGATGTCCTCATGCAAATCTCACCGAATGCGACGGCAATCGCGACGGCCAATCAGCTCCAGCCGCCGCAGCCATTAAAGCCGGAAGTGAGTACATCGACACCGCCCACGGGTGGAGCAGCCTCATCCGATACTCATCATCCTGGCAGATCTGGCAGCGGCATCTCAAAGCCCAAGAAGCAGTACAAACGGAGCAGCAGCAGCAGCACCACAAGCAGCAGCAACAACAACAACAACAACAACAATCCCAATGTGGCCAACAACAACAGCAGCAGCGGAGGAGGAGGAGGGGGAGCACTGGGCGTGGTCATGGGCAGCAGTGCGGGAAGTGGCAGCTCCTCCTCCAGCGGCAGTGCCAGCAGCAGCAGCAACAGTCCGCCCGCCAACTCAAGCGGCTCCGGCTCGTCCGCCAGTGGCGCCAGTGGCGGTGGTGGACAGCGGAAGGAGCGCTCCCTGCACTACTGCTCCATCTGCTCGAAGGGATTCAAGGACAAGTACTCGGTGAATGTCCACATACGCACCCACACGGGCGAGAAGCCCTTCGCCTGCTCCCTGTGCGGCAAGAGCTTCCGGCAGAAGGCACACCTGGCCAAGCACTACCAGACGCACATGACCCAAAAGAACAATGGAAACCTGATCAAGGGCAGCTCCTCCAAGCACCCGAGATCCAGTGGCGGATCATCTGCTGCAGCGGCCGCAGCGGCCGCAGCGACAGCATCCATCAACCAGCAGCGTCAGATGACTCCGTCACTGCCTGGGATGATCAGCAATCCGAACACGCCGCCTGGCATCCTGCCCCCAGCGAATGGCCTGCTCACGAATCGGTAGTTCTACGGCAGAGGTACCCGCAAAACGAAACTATTTCTTGTTCCTTACTCACAAAAAACACACATACACCTACACACACACACACACACAACGATAAAAGCTAAATGAAAACTACACTACTCGTACATACTATATGCAACTCGAATACATACACATACTCCTGGAGGGATATGGGGAACCATCCACAGTCCACTCCGCCTCGAATTTATGTCATTGAAGAATTCCTATATTCAGCTTTCTGTGCAATTCCTATACCTATACCAACACTCGAAGCACTTCCAAATAGAATACTCAACTTAATGTACATTTAATGCCTAAACCAACCACAAATTAAATTTAAATGTGCCAAATTTTGAAGATTTTAATTAATGCTACTACCAGATAGAACCTACAATTAAACTAAATAGAGATACATACGTTATAGAGATATGTAAATGTAATCAAGCTAATGAAGCAATTCTACGCGTGGTGATATCAAAGTGAGGCCAAACGCTTCCCTGCTAAAGGAAATACTTACCCTACAACGTCCGACATACATACACACCTACATACATATAGTACCATATAGTACCATATTCTCCACAAAACTTCTTCAGACTCCCAAAACGATGCGTGTTTTTTTCCTGTAAATTGAAAGTATTTTGTTTTTCTTAGTTGCATTGCCCAAATTAGCATAATTTTTGTTTGCTAGTGTAAATGTATATAATTAATTAACTAATTAACTAATTATATCGAATTAGTTTGTAAAGAGCCAGCTAAGGGAATGCCAAATGCTTGAGATCAAAGTTCAAGAACACTGACCCAGGGCCAGTCTTTATTTTTCCTGCCACAAACTTTCCAGAATTTCTCTCCTCCTTCAAGTTTTGATCTGTTTGATCTCTTGGGCCCCCAGTGTTCTCGCAGACTTCGAAGAGGCATTCATCTTCAGTAGAGGAGGGCACAAGCATAATAATTATGTATACAAATAAAAAATCTACGCGTTCAAACAGCTGTCAAACGAATGCGAAAAACTCAACTTGCACTTGCCATTATTTTTGTATTTGATAAAAACTCGAATCGTACGACATATTATAAAACAAATAATAATAACAAAATAGTGCCCCTAAATGTATAGATAACGAGACGGGTAGAGAGAGCGAAGTAAGCGTAGGTTAAGCTTAAACTAATGGTTAATTAAACTGCCAATTATTTTGTGATAGTTTTTAAAAAGGAAATTCCATTATAATATATTATGTAAGTGCATATCTTCAATGGTGTTTGGGTTATGTAACATTTAATCGATTTGTTATAAACTGTGTGTAAACTTTTGCAATACGTGTAGTATTTTCTCTTCTAATTTATTGAATTTAATAGTTATATGTACATACATACGACAGCTAGCGAGCGACGGAGAGAGAGAGGGAGGTCGTTCGATCCTTGTTTTATATTGAAGCCTAGGCTAAGCCACACACATCAACAAAAAATCTTAGTTAAATCTTTGTTAGTTATTATTTATGCACACACACAAACACACACACAGACAAGCACTCGAACACACACACACACATATCCATTCGCGGTTAAGTTTTGCATTAATATTTTTATTAGTATTGCAAGCATTAAAAAATAAAGAAATCTAAAACGTTTTATTGACAATTAAGATTCGCTTCGCTTCGTGTCTGCATTGATCCTGCCTTGGGTTAATTAGTTTCAACATCTGCCGCTATGCCACTCGTTACGGCGCGTCTCTCAAGATTGAAATAATTTTCTCCAATAAAGGAAGGCACATGAAAGCTCATGCAGCTGCGCATGTCAACCGGAGACGCAGCCGGGGCTCACGGGCTCACGGGCAGGCGGCACTTGTCTGTCAAAATCAAAGTACTTCGTACCTGGCTACCGCCACAGCCTGGGAGCATCAGTGCCTCATTTGGTGGATGGCCGCAAATGCGTGTGCCGCATGCGCCAAATGGCCAAACGGCCAAACGGCAAACTGCTAACGCCAGCAGCAGCCATCAGCGTAGATTAGAGAAAATTTTTCACCCGAAGAGATCAGGCACCACACGACCGAGACACAGACTGATGCCTCTGCTTCAGCTTCAGCTCAAGCTGCTGCTGGTGCTGCTGCTGTTGCGGCAAAAAGTCATTTGAGATCGAAACATGTCGATTAGGGAATTTCAAGAGGCGCCAGTGGCCGTCGCACAGGTGGCTAACATCATGGATGCCGCTGCCACAGTCCGTGGCACCTTTGGGGGAGCTGCAACAAGCACGCGTCTTAATTGCTTTTGATGTTTGAACTCTGAGCCAGGCTGCGGCATACGTACAAGTATGAGTATGAGTATGAGTACGAATACGACTACGAGAGTATATTTGCACAATGAAAAATCTGAGAACAGGCAGCCCAATCTCGTGGAAACGAAAGTTATCTGCGATGGCTAGTCAAATGTCCATAAGCCTGGGCCATAAAAAGATTAGAGGGACGCGATGCCTTCATTTAACTAGCCGCCTCGTCTGTATATGCAGTCTATGCCGGACCACCTCCAGTAGCCAGACGATTGAGGAGAGCGCCGACATAAAGGCGAAACCATACCAGACATACTGCAGATCCATTAACTGCATGGCCCGGAACGATCTGAGGGGACTCAGGTCGAGAAAGTGCAGTTCCCCTGCCTCGATCAGCTCCGAGAAGGCGCTCTGCATCCAATGCGAGGAGAGGCCCGTTTCGGCCAGTTCCATGATGAGCGTGAGAATCGGTTCCATGAACACTGAATTCTCATGGATGGGAAAGCCGAACGGTATGTTATTGAAGAAGCAGAAGTCGTCGCGCATCCGGAACAAGGGCTTGGAGAAGACCTTCTGCTGCTCGGCGACGACCATCCACTTGGTGGTGTGCATCATGTAGCCGTACCGGGTGTTGAAGGAGTCGCGCAGACTGATGTAGCGACTGAATTCCGGCACCACCATGAACATGGACTCGTACTTCCGGAGGTCTGCCAGTCGCCCAATCAGCTCCGCATATTCCGGTGTCCAGGCCACCACCTTCAAGCGGGAGGCGAATAAATCATCGTAGTTGCGGTAAGGCAGCTCCTTTGGCGCAGCGGTCACGTAGGCGGAGAAGTAGGAGTTGTACCAGGCCGTGATGAGTATCCCCAGCACGCAAATCTCCAGGTAGATGCCACGCACCAGAGATGGGGCGTGAAAAACCTCAACGAACGACTGCCCCAGCACTCCCCGCAGGCAGCTCTCGTGCAGCAGGAAGTCATACGGAGCCACACGATACCCATGCAGCCGCAGAGTCATGGCCAGCAGAGAGGAGATCACCACCAGCGTGAAAAGGACCACCAGGAAGGCCTGCAGTTCGAACACCCTCGTATAGTACTCCGGAGTGGGGACATCCGCCTCCACGGGCAGCATTAGGCACCAGTTCATCTGCTCGTACGGATAGGTGAAGCCGACGGGCGGTATGGTTGGAAATGTCAGTGACATCGACATCTCCACAGAGTTGTTCCGCACAGCTGCCACCGTCTGCATGGACGGGGCAAAGACAGTCGGCAGCGTCGACAGAAGCGGCTGGACAAAGCTGAAATTGTATTTCCGCTGAAAGACGTCCATGAAGTGGCCAACGGTGCCCTCGTACACCACTTTGCCCCGTTTGTAGTAGGCTATCATGCGTGGCGCAGTGCCGCCAATAATAACGGGCATCTGGTAGCCCAGGAAGTTGCGCAATCGATTCTGAAACACTTTCAGCGAAGAATTTGGCTCATAGAGTGCCTCCTCTATATGGAGATTGGGAAAGGGCGAGTAGCGGTAGAAAGTGTGGGTTCTCTAGGGGAAAGGAACGAGGAAATATCCTTATTTATTTAAATCCTCGATTTTTCGTTTACCCACCTCGTGATCCGCAAATAAGGCCAGGACATTCAGCATCTTCATATTCCTGCAATGCGAAAACAATTCCAGGAGCAGTCCTTCACTGGCCACATCCACTTGCATCAGAAATATGACCCTCGATGTGGTCATGTGTCTGAGATTGGCCACCAGCGCCTTGAGCAAGCCATCGTGCTCCTCCAGCCTTGCGCCGCTCAAGTAGACCACAGACACCAGTCGATTGCTGATGCTGTTGTGCAGAAAGTAGCTTACATTCTCATCCAGCTGTAGCACAGGGACCCTCAGTTCATCCATTAGTTCCATGGCCAAAGTGCTGCCATTCCAAGCCTGATCCGGCAGCGTGGCATTCCGGTTCTTCATCAGCAGCAGGTAGTCAAAGGGCGACTCCTGTCGTATCCTGCCCAGCAGTTGCACAACCTTTGAGGCATTCCCCCCCAAACAAAGCAACCAGAGGCAGCCAAGGATCAGACCAGGACAATCCATCACGAGGGACGAGGCTCAACTGCATGACACTGATTGATGCCGCTGCACATTTAAAGGGTTGCTAATGAATCCGCCGACGACGACAGCTAATGGCCAATTCCAATTAGAAGACCGTGTTAACAAGTGCCGAACAGGGAAAAAAAACCAAGAAAAAAACATATTTCCCTTGGGACTACAAGGCAACAACTGAAATAATTAAATGCACGCCAGTGTAGGTACGTGTACACGTACAATTGTTGTAAAACAAAGGAAAGGTTATATCTACATATATGAAGTGATTAAAGCCAGAGAAGTAAAGACTCTTTTGAAAGAAAAGTAATGAATACTTTGATTAATATTAGATAAGAGATACTTTATTAAACGTGTCATGTGCTTCGAAAAAGTTTTTACCACCCGCATGGGTTCTTATTTCACTTTTCTCCGAGTGTAATAAAAGCGAAAATCGATTCTGTCGCACACTAATTTCTATACAACAAAATCTGCATGGCTCTCACCCTGATTCGCTGACGATAGAACCACATCAGCTCCCAAAGAAACACCAGAGTAGCCACAGCCAACATCAAGCCAAAGGCCTGCGAAATATGTTGCAAGTCCATCAGTTGCATGGCTCGAAACTCCTTGGGCTTGCCCCGATCGACCAGACTCAACTGACCCGCCTTGATCATTTCCGTAAAGGCCATTTCGCGCCAGTGGTTCAGCAGGCCCGTTTCCAGCACTTCCTGTATGAGGCGGTCAAGGGCCTCCTGGAAGATGCTGTTCTCCTTGATGGGAAAGACAATGGGAATGGCGCGGAAGAAGCAAAGATCCTCCCGCATGGTGAACAGGGGAGAGCTGAAGACCTTCTGCTGCTCGGTGATCAGCAGCCACTTCTCCAGCGGCAGCATATAGCCATATTTCGTATTGAAGGAGTCGCGCAGCGCTATGAACTTTTTGTAGTCCGGCTCGAGCTGAAAGATGGACTCATACTTCTCCATGCTGCTGAAGTAGTTCAGAAGTACACGGTACTCGGGTGTCCACACCACGACCTTCGTTTGGGAACGCGCAATGCTGTCGTAGCTGGTGAAGGGTGGGCGTCGCGGTGCACTCGTCACGTAGGCGGAGAAGTAGGAGTTGTACCAGGCGGCGATGAGAATGCCCAGCACACAGATCTCCAGGTAGATTCCTCGCACCAGAGGGGGCGCGTGAAAAACCTCGACAAAAGACTGTCCTAGCAGTCCCCTCAGGCAACTGTTGTGCAGGAAAAACTCATTTACCCGCACACGATAGCCATGGAACCTCAGGGCCAAGGCCAACACCAGAGAGATGGCCATCAGAGCCAGGAGAATGAGCAGAAATGCCGACCAATCGAATACCATGGAGTACAGTTCGCTGCGTGGAATCTCCTCCGGGACAGGCATCATCAGGCACCAGCTCAGCAGCTCGAAGGGATACGTATAGCCGATGACGGGCCTCTGCGGATAGATGGCCGCCAGAGCAAACTCGGCACTTCCATTGCGCACTGCCCCAATGAGTTGTAGAGCTGGCGGGATGGCGGACTCGTTAAACGGATGCGGCTGCACCAGACGACAGTTGAACCGCTGCTCGATGCACTTCATCAGATTGCCAACAAGTCCCGTATATATTAGCTCCCCATCGGCCCCCCGATACACGATCAGACGAGGCGCAGACCCGCCCACCACAATGGGCAGTCCAAAGCCATGTAGATCCCTCAATCGAGGCGGGAACAGTACGGAGGTATTCTCGAGACGTCTCTCGATGAACTGCAGAATGGGGAATGGCGTGTAGCTGTGGATGACGTGGCGGGATTCCTGCAGAAAAAGTTTTATAAGTAAAAACTACATTTTACTGGCCATTTTGTTTCACCTTAAAATCCTCATCAAGGACCAGGACATTGAGGAATTCGTGCAGCCAGCACCATTCCAGCAGCGTTTGCACTCGCATCTTTTGCTTTCCCATCACGAAAATAATCGGAGCCGTGTTCAGCATTCTCAAATTCAAGTGAGTAAGCTCGAGCAATGTCTCGGGAAAGTCATTCACAAAACCGATGCTCAGGAAGTTCCTCGAATGATTTTTACGCAGATTATAGTCCACGTGAGGGAACTGCTCGTCAATCTGAATGACAGAGACCGGCAGCTGCCATAGCCTCTTCAGCCAAACGGGCTCCGAATTTCCCAGCAGCAGAACAAACTCAAAGTGCAGTTCGCTTCTGAGTTGCTGAAGAAACTGCAACTCGAAGCACTGCCAGCCAGGACTCTGGATAGCCACCAGGATTAGCTGAAAGAGCGCCAACTGCCTCATGCCGTGTGCCTGCTGGTACGTTTCTGTGGCAGGAGTGTCCTGCCGCAGTCCCTTTTATGCAGACCAGACCTCAAAACACCCATTAACCTGCCGCCCCGCCCCACGGGCCACGAATAGTGAGAGTCATAAATTAGCACACAAAACACGTGATGTTTTTGCACAGAACGTTTTTACGAGTATGCCATGATTGGATATATTAGTCATCCGTCATCAGATGTACTGGTCGGAATACGTTTGGTTATTCACGGGATACTGCTCGCCGATGGCGCACAGATTCTTGTATTGGATATCACGACGCTTGCAGAGCGTGCCCGCTTTTAGGGCGCTCTGGTAGATGGCCGTACGCTTCATGCCGACCGTGGAAAAGCAGCAGCTCAGGTAAAAGTAGTGGACGCGGTCCTCGGTGTATTTCATAGCAGCACAGCCCACAGCCGTGTTGCGTTCCGTTATCAAAAGCACTGCCCTGTATGTCGATCTGGGGATTACAGGAATGGAATGTGATTCGAAACATTCTAGGAAGACGCATTCTTAGACCCTACCTAGAATCCTGACGTTCTTCGAGATACACGGATTGCGCTCTGGTCACATATTGTCCCTCCTTGAACCACGTTGACATTATTTTGAGAACCACGTCTTGGTTTTGCATTTCTTTTCCCGTATAGCCTTCGCTGTCGAAGATGCTGCCAATGTTGGGGATACTCGGCGATGTCATACAGGGGCGCGGCAGGGGAATGCAGGTCAGGAGATCGGCCTTGGCAAAGTATTCGAGCTCTTCGGACCAGTCCATGCGAGCCATCCTACCCGCAGGCAGCAGATATCGCGTCAGTCCGGTGGCAGCCTTATTCCGAAATCGATTGAGCGCTGCCAGTATTTCCCTTTTGTGGTGTCGTAGGCTCACAAATTTAGCCATGGGATTGCATTGAAAGCTGTGGTTCTAGGAGAAGGATGGGTATACGATTGGCACAGCCCCAAGAAGCTATTTGATTTTCATATATCTACGCTTTTCAGGCAAACGACGTTGTTCTCTCCACAGTATGGCAGATCGCAGTATGTTCTGGCGTCAAATTTGAATCCCGACACACCAGTCAACCATCCTGCCAGCAAAAGGATCAGCGTCAGGCAAGTACAGCCTGCGGACATCGTGGTTGGAGCACTTGGAGCAAACTGAGCTTCGCCCTGATGGACGGCTTGGCCTTTATAGCCGAGAATTTTCTCTGCAAAATATGGTCTGTTCCATTATTGGTTTTTGTCGGATCTGGTAGCCTTTCTTCGAATTTTTTCAGCTGGCCAACTGTTGCCCACAAACGGAACTAATATACCTTTACGATAATATCTATCACATGAATCAATATTCATATTTCAATATCAGTTGTTTATTTAACTAAATAATAAGCACCACAATGCTATAACATTTAATGGAAAATATTTTCCATGAAAATTTCACAACTGAAATGCATTTTAAAATAGAATTTCCCTTCAGCACAGCACCATACTTATTTCATCCATAAGCAGCTCTCGACGAGTTGCCACAACTCGCAGCAAAAAAAAATGTATAAAAATGAAATTAAATTAAGAAAATAATTGCGGAACGCATCGCAGCCATAACTGAAATGAGGCAGAAATCTCGTTGGACCGATGGATCACTCTTAATGAGGAGCGGCAGCAACATTGCTCATTATACGAGTTGTATGTACATATATAAATTTTTCAAGCACTTGTAACTTTTGCTGCACTCCACTCGATTTGGCAGATGCGTCAGCACTTGACCCGCGCACAGACTCAGACTCCTCCGTTTCCCATTTGTAGACTCTTTGCCATGTCACATGCACCATGCCTCATGCCCCATGCCTCATGCCCCATGCCTCATGCCCCATGCTTGTTGTCCGCCAAATTGAGTTGACGTTGACGTAATGCCCCGCCACTTGACTGAGTCTCTTTTTTGGCTTTGTCTTTTTCTGGCTGCCTTTTTTTTATATTCCGTTTCTTTATATTTTTGTGGTTTTTGTTTTTGTTTTTTTTATGAAGTGCATCAACGTCTGGGGCCGCCTTGGTCGGTCAATTAGCTGCACATACCGAGAGTATCTCTCGGGTCGAGCGCAAAAAGAGTGGCAGCGTGGTGAGCTTTACATGGCAGGGCTGCAAATTTTGTTGATTTCTTCTCTTCGTTTTCCTTCTTCTTTTTCCCATCAGTTTTTATCTCCAGTTTTTTTTTTTGGCTGGAGGTCACGTAGAGTCTTTAATTGGCTGGATTGCGTACGAGATGACAATTTCCTGAGAAGAGCCTCCAGAGTTCATAAGTGCTCGAGGGCATTCTTATAATCTTTTGCAATGCTGAAACCTCATTCGGTCCACTTTTAATGTAGTTCTAAAAAGCATAATCGTAAATGCAAACACTGGCTGCCCTCAGAATATTAGTTTCAAACTTCTAAAGTGGGATAGCTAGATATTTTGAACTACTTTCAAACACCCTTGTTTACCTCTGTGAAACTCCCCAATCATTATGTTCGCATTCACAAGATTTTAGGTATTTTCAAACTTCCATCTGTTACTTATTTGTTGGTCCATTCATCTGCAAAATATCCAGAAGTTTTTCCCTTGTTTCGCCTCAAGTATCTTTCCTTTTTACAACCGAAAAATGGTGCCTGAACATTACAACTTCCTGGCGATCATAAGCTAAGATCATGGCCCCATTCCATTCGGTTTGACAGGCTCTCTGCTCGCACACAGATTTACACATGCCCCCGGAAAGTAACATATACATAGATGAGGAGTGCAGTGGGAGTGCGGAGTGCGGAGGACAGATACAGCTCGAACCGTAATGCCGCAAGTGATCGTACATCCGACTGTTTGGGGGACTGTTTTGTTGTCCAGTTGTTGTTGCTGGCCACGAGACATGCACGAGCCATGGCATACGCCACCACCAACTCCAGCTCCTCCCCAGACAAGAGTTGGTGGCATGCACCAAAAACGGTAGCCTTTTTTGGGGGAACAACAATGAGGCCGGACCTCGGACCTGGTCTCATTGAAAAGCGAAAGATGGCCAAATAGAAAATGGTGAAAATGGCAAAAGGCCAAAAGCGGACTGACAAAATATTTTTGTATATGATAAATGGCACAGTTTAAAGTAAGTCGAGCACTTGCAATTGTCCATGTCCATGCATCATGCGGCGGCACAATGTAAATTTCCATTGCCGCCGCTCTGACCATTTGTGAGTGTTTCTGCGGTTGCGGCTGCGGCTGGGCCGGTCCGGGCCGGTACTGATGCCTGGCTGGCTAATGGTGCCACACTAACCATAGTCCAGGCCATAATCTAGTACATTTTTCGCTAGGCCGTCCAGTCCAGAGTTGCCTGATTTATGAAAGGGTCTCATAATTTACCACAAATATGGTCATAATTTTTTTTGGCTTTTACTTTTTGGGGGGTACTGCTGCTGGTCTCTGCTAATGAAGCGGCAGCCGCCAGAAAAGCCCCCCAAAAAAAAAAAGAAACCAAAGCAAAAGCAAACGGAGACAAAACCAAAAAAGAGTAACAAGAGTAAAGAAAATTTTCAGCAAAGAAACTCATTTAAGTGGATGGACAGCCGATGGCCACTTGTTGCCATCGTTTCCTAGCAATCAGCAGCAGCAGTGGTGGAACGTGTCATTCCTAACAGGCCAGGACCAGGCCAGACCAGACCGAGCCGTGCCTATAATCATCATCAACATTACCAACTAGCCTCAGCCTCAGCCTCCAATGTGGAGCAATCACGTCCTGGACGGTACTGGACTGTACGGGACTGGCCAGGGGCCCAATGTTCCAGCCATGCTTCAATAAATGTCACTCCTCAAGCTTTGCATCTAAAAATTGATGACAATAATTTGTTGCATTCGCCCGAGGGGGTGTGGCCTGCTCCGATCTGCTCCGATCCGCTCCAGCTTTAGCTCTAGCTTCAGCCCAAAATTGTCTTGGACAGACTGAAGCTGGCTCGAAGCTGCCACTGCTGCCACTGCCTCTGCTGGCACTGCTGCCACTGCTGTTTTCAACACAATTTATACAAAGTGTCGCAGTTTTTGGCGCTTTGCATTTGTTGCTGACAGACTGCCAGACTGCCAGACAGCAGCCGTGCCCCAGCCATGCCCCCTGCAACGGTTTGCACTTTGCCGAATACAAAAATGAAGCATAAATTTCGTCATTTTGTCACAAGTCGTTTGTATGCGATACCCAGCCCGGATAGAGGCAGGGTTACGGGGCGGAGGCTGGGACTGGGACTGGAACTTGGGCTGGGCTGGGCTGGGAGTTGATTGCAAACCGATTTGGGGAATTGTTCCCCCCACAATTCCATAAAAAAATCAACACACACTCCTCTAAGACCTAAGCAAACCCCAACCGGACTGCACTGCACTCGGGCTCGCAGTCGAACTCGGTCTGGAGTGTAGAGGCGCTTTGATTTGATTTCGATTACACATTTTTCAATTTGATAAATTTATTGAGCTCCGGCTTCCAAACAAATCGCCTGCGATGCAAGATAAGAGCCAGGAAACTTAATACACCGAATATAATGAATCCTCTGGCATGGGGGCAACGAGTAGCATCTCATCTCCAGCTTCTGGCTCCAGCTTGTTGGCCATGGCCAATGCCACATATATGGCCATGGCCTGGCAATCGCCTTGTAAATGGCATCAATTGCGACCTTTTGCCATTCTTACGGAAACATTTCGCTAATGAAACCGATACCTCAAATGTCAAGACACGATCCGGTTCGGTACGGTTCGGTTTGCTTCGATTCGGTTTAGGTTCGTTTTTGGCCTGTGGTCAGTCGCTGTCGCCCGCCTTGCTCCTGGCCAGTGGCAACGGCCTGCAGCATTTACCACATTCTAGCGAACTTATGGCAGCCATAAAAATGTTAAGCACAAAACATTTGCCACATTGGCACCTTTTGGCCAACAAAAAAAAAAAACAAAAAACTACAAAAAGAAAAAGTAAACGAAAAACGATTCAAAGAGCAAAAGAAATGGAGCACGCACGTGGCAAATGCACCCAAGGCGAAATTGGATGCTCCAGCTTCTCCATAGTGATCGCAGCTGCAGTTCGTTATGCGGAAGCTGAATCCAATCATAATTTGAAGACGGTTTTTTGTCGGTTTGGTGAATTTATGAAGACTTTCCAGAGCTACTTTCCACAGCTATCATAGGAATGGTGCGAAATGTAATTACTACTGAAGTGCTAGAGCATTTGTTAGAAGGGGTTACTTGGGGAACGAAAAGCTTATTTGGATAAGTAATTCGAATTATAAAAGCATACGATTTACAAGTTAATTTCCAACCATATTATGAGGGTATGAAATATATGGAAAGGGAGAAAAAAAACCCATATCCTCCCTCGTACGCCCACAGCCAAGTCATAATCCAGCTGCAGCTCTGTCTATAAGCCTTTTTACAAGCTCTACTTGAGCAATTGGAATTATATATATTTTGCTGCCTCGCTTGATTATTTCTTTACAAAACAGACAACTTGGAAATTAATAAAAAATAATTTGTTAACAGCACACACTTGATGCCAAAGCAAAGAGATGATGCTTGATGGGAGTTAGCGTACTGTGGCTGTGGTGCCCCAAAGAAAACACGTCAAGCAATCATTCAAAGCTGTCGCAAAGCCGTGTACCGTGGACCAGGGATCGGGGAACGGGGAACGGAACCCATGTTGGAGTGTGCTGTGGCGTGGGCGTGCAGCAGGGGCAGCAACAAAAGATCTGTGGACACATAAACAACATGCGACGCTCAATGTTGGCTGGACGCCAATTTCGTGGTACTCATGGGAGCCCAGAGCAAACCAAAGAAACATATAAACGACTCGGCCACGGGTACGAGTACGAGTGCACATACGAGTACGAGTACGAGTCCAAGTATACGTGTTTAAACAAATACAATTTGCAATTATATGGCAAGCAAATCAAGTTGAAATCAGCATGCGATTTCCACCTGTGGCCGGCGTCATAATTCGTGGCTATGTTTTTGGTCATAAATCTAGCGATTTACAATTTTTTTGTTGTTGTTGTTTTTGTTTTTGCCTTTCTGCTGGTTTTTGTCTCTCGTTTTGGGAAATAGAGAAATATACAGAAATGCATTTCGTGGCACAGCGGGCCTGGACTTGGACATGGACATGGTTGGTGGCTGTGGCTGTGGCTGTGCC